AGAAAATAAAACGTGGTGGGGGGGGGGGGAAATCGCAACGATAGTCACGATACAATGGTATTTTTCAAAACGAAGGATGCGATTACCACAAACAATATCTACTAGCCTTTTGCAAGTGAAAAGCAGACCGCGACCTGATATATTCATTGCATCAATTGGTGTGCAATTTGTAAGGGCGCGGTGACACAGACTCATTTCATTTTAAGGTGATAATCCCTTGTTCATCATGACGTCCTTTTTACTTTGATGTCTCAACAGCGTTACGGAGATCACGTGATGACGTGAGGGTTCCGCCTTTGTAGTGAGGGTTGAGTTGACGCTGAGGAGGGGGGAGGAGGCGCCTCGCCCCCCCCCATGTGGAGTGACGTCACCCGCTAATTAATATTAATGGTGGGGGGGGTGTCCATTTGGAAGACGTCACGTCTTCATGATTATTAATGTGGGGGCCTGGTCGATGTGCAGTGACGCCACCTGTTCAATGATTATTAATGAGGGGGGCTGGCCAACGTGGAGTGACGTCAGGCGCAGGACACAGACATTCTTGGCTCATTACAGGAGTAAATTATAGTGTTCGATTTATCACAATTATTGCCGTATCACCACAACCCGACTGGACAACGGTCGGCCTGATGTGACCGTGAATGAGGATGACCATTTTGAGCAAAGACTGACCGACATTCTGCATTCTTTCTACTCCTGAATAAAAGGGCCATCGCCTGAAACGTTAGTCAATAAGATACTTTTCTGTTATCATCCTCATCATCTGCCATGGTCAAGCTCTTCTGCTGGATGGAGGCCTCTCCAAGCCACCGCCACCCTCTCGCGATCCTGCGATGTAATCGTCCACCTATCACCTGCGTACAAGTCGGTGGTGATTGCTCCATCTCTCCTCGGTGGCCGTACCACCATATTTTTGTTTTCGTTACCCTAATAATTTAAACTCAATTTAAACACGCGTACGGTTAGCGAGCACCTGTTAAGACCGGAACTACTACACACGTGGGTGTGTGTGGTGCGGCTCACATCAATCCTATCCGCCTTTGTCTCTCCATCAATATGCCGATGTGCGCACGCTTCTTAACTGCACACCACGAAGCAATGATCAGCCGTGGTGATCTACTCATGGATGAAGGCCTACTGCATCGTGGCCCTGTGGTGAAACAACTCCGTCTCAGCCCCTACACACGATCTGATTTCGGCACTCCATCTCCATGGCGGAAAAAACCCTCGCCGCCTCGCACCTGATTACGAGTCGATGTTATCTGCTCGATCTCCCTCGGCGGACACGCCCCAATATTTTTTGTTTTCGTTTTTCAGCGTCAGTGGAATTAGCCCGTAGGGTCCAATGGGGCAGGTGAAGCTTCGCAAAAACTAGTTTTGGGGCGACGCTTTCTCGCGGTCCATTGTCTTCCCGCCGGTACGACGCTTACGTGGCCGTGACCGTCTGTGGGCTGGGGTTTCCAGCTTTACGAGAGATCCGGCGGATAAAGTTCAAACAACAGCAACCGGCAGCTCACAATGCGCGGCATTGTTGGTGCTCCCCTTGCCACGTGCGTCAATCCACTGCTGGATGAGCGCGCTAACCGCGGTGCAGGCCCCGTCGCACTTCGCTAGAAAAGACAAATGGGTCGCGCGCAGTGATCGCCACACCGCACTACAAAACCCCACTTACTAGAGTTCAATTCCTCGCCAATGGCCAACACCGGCAGCAAGTATCTGAACCGGCCCTGGGGCCTCCCCTAGGTCAAGTCGGCTTGAAACGAGTAAATAGGTGCGGTGTGTGAAAAACATAATCAGAACTGGGGGAGACAAAGGCGGCCCCCGGGCATGTTCGCACTCCACACCAGCCATTGGCCTTCATGGGTGTTCGCCAACAGCACTTTCCTAAGTGCTGAAACACCGTGCCCGGCCGCCTTTGTCTCTCCCAGCCATCGCACCCATGCACCCCGCACCAGGCAGTGCTCTCGTTAAGGGTCATACGTACGATCGTCACCAATTGTCAGCCATGATCGATCCCCTGTTGGGCGTTGGGTATCCTCCCCCTACGCTAATGACATCCCCTCGGCCCAGGTGATGTAACAATGCATATCACTCGCATGCACATGAGCAGACGACCCCCCTAATTCCATTTCAAGTCTAGACCATTGATTATCGAGGTAGGCGTAATAATAAACAAATTCTTTGGTGATACTGCTGCTGCATGCCTGTCAACCCCTTTACTAGTGCCCTACCTTATTACAGAGCAATTCAGACCTTGTTGGTCACCCCGTGCCCCTTATAGATCTCAACGTTCATCCTACGAAGTCTCCATCACAAGGGAGAAACACAAACACACAGACAACACATTCTGTTGCCCGTATTGAAACGGCTGCACTCCCTATGGATATGAAAACTCAATTTCCCTACACAAGAACACGGGGTAACCCGTATGGGTTTGACAGGTACGCTGCTGCTTCGTTGTCAGTGGCGCAGAAGCACAATAAATAAAAATGAACCCAAGGCATTCGTCCAGCATACAGTACACTGTGGCCTAAAGAGTAAAAAAAAATCATATATAATCGGCGACGTTTCGGACAACGGCCCTTCTTCACAGCACGTACGTATGTGATGACGTGCACATCGACGTACTGGAACGAAGGCGGTTAGGCCCAATAATATTAATTACGTACGATTAGCATGGCTGTAGGGTGCGAAAGAAGTTCAACATACAGGAATAACCACATCATTAATAATAATGTGGTTGAACACGTAAGCTTTCGCGGCCGCTTTTATTAATAAAGTTTTTTTTTCTTTATGGGGGTTAGATCGGCCGTGTGTGTGTCTCCCACTGCGTCGCGAGTCGAAAACGACCCCCCTCCCCCATAAAAAAATCAACCTTTATTATGAATAACAATATTTTTCCGCCGAGGCCCGGAATCGAACCCTGCAGCAGGGCACCTGTGCGTTCACCACAGCGCCACCAACAGCACGCGTACAATACATGAACAGCACGTGAACAACAAGACATGAGCAGCAGCACGTGAACAACAAGACATGAACAACAGCACGTGAACAACAAGACATGAGCAACAGCACGTGAACAACAAGACATGAACAACAGCACGTGAACAAGGCATGAACAACAGCTCGTGAACAACAACACATGAACAACAGCACGTGAACAACAAGACATGAACAACAGCTCGTGAACAAAAAGACATGAACAACAGCACGTGAACAACAATACATGAACAACAGCTCGTGAACAACAAGGCATGAACAACAGCTCGTGAACAACAAGACATGAACAACAGCACGTGAACAAGACATGAACAACAGCACGTGAACAACAAGACATGAACAACAGCACGTGAATAACAAGAGGCGCACAACAGCACGTGAATAACAAGAGGCGCACAACAGCACGTGAACAACAAGACATGAACAACAGCACGTGAACAACAAGACATGAACAACAGCACGTGAACAACAAGACATGAACAACAGCACGTGAACAACAAGACATGAACAACAGCACGTGAACAACAAGACATGAACAACAGCACGTGAACAACAAGACATGAACAACAGCACGTGAACAACAAGAGGCGCACAACAGCACGCGTACAGCAGCACGTGGTGTGTGTGGGGGAGCGGTAGTGTTGCGCGCTGCGCTACGAACCCGGCGACCCGGATTCAATTCCCGCTCACGGCCACCAACACCGGCGAGGATTATCTGAACCGGTTCCTGGACCTCCCCTAGGTCGACTCGGCCTCCAATGAGTACCTGGTGCGGTGTGTAGTAAACATCGCCACTGGGAAGACTAAGGCGGCCGGGCGTGGTGCTGGCCACCCACCCCCTCGTGTACCGTGCCGGCCTTCGTAGGCGGCACCTGCCCCCGGACAGCCTGTTAAGGCGTTATCACACCAATCCTGACCGCCTTTGTCTCCCCAGCAGTGTGCCGATGTGCACACTCCAGGACGAAGGCCTTACTCACTGCAACCCGTGGCACTGCGGGCGATGCAACTCTCCGTCTCGGCCCCCAACACACCACACACAAGAGGCCCCAATTCGCCCCACTTACATCTCCAACGTGTTTCCTACCAATCTAAGAATAATGTAACGCGACATGGTGGTGACGGGCGAGGAGGTGGGGGTGGTGTTCCAGGCTAATATCGCAAACGTAATAACACAACCGAAGCACGGATTTCAACCTCGGTTACGAAGCCGGTTAAACCATTAACAACAACCACGCGCTAATCACACACGCGTGCACAAAGTTGCCCCGGTATAACCTGACGCAGACTGTTGGGGCAGTGTTGTCCTTAGCGAGCAACTAATTGAAGGCGGTCGACGATGCAACGTTGGAGCGGCGTGGCTTGGCACCCCCCGCCCGCCCGGCCGCCTTTGTCTCCCCGCGTAAGAGCTTCGTCGCAACTTAGTGGGGAGGCCGAGAGAGAAGGAACCCGTCTAGATATTCGTGGCATTCGGGTGGTTTGCAAGCTCAAGACACCCTTGTCCATACCACACACAAACACAGAGACGCCACGAGCGCGGCGGTGGAGCCTCGTGCCAGGCTAGGTGCACGCACATCTCGAGGTTACTTCTGAGCGAAGCGGCTGATGATGATGATGCGGGGGGGAGGGGGGTGAGGGGACACACAAAAATAAGTCGCTGGCAAAGTGATGAAACGACATGCGCAGGTGTTGTGTGTGTGTCGGTCGATTGAGACACGCGACACGGAGACACGCGGCACAAAGACACGCATGGACACCACCACCACCATCCACGCGGTGCGCGCACACCGCCCTCACACTGCACGCCACACAGGCTAGGATATCAAACCCGTCCCCTCACGGCCGTGTTTGTCTCCCACATCCCAGGGGGCGTCAAGTCTCCATCACCATCATCATCACCGCGATGATGATGATGATGGCCTCTTGTTCTTATCGGCGCTCACCACCAAACCCGCGCCGCCTCACGCACTCTCTCGCGGCCCCTTCACGCCGCCCCTCCTCACCGCCGCTGAGGGAGATGTCTGCGCAGTCCTGGCCCGTCTTCACCTCGAGGGTGAGCGGCTGCTCGCCCGTGCGAGTCGCCTCGCCGCCATTCGTCTCGGCGCACAGCGAGCCCAGGCGAACGCCTTCAAACGTCGACGTCGCCATGTCGGCTTTCTCCCCCCTCCCCTCGTCCCCCCTCCCCCCTCATCACCCCTCCCCTAACCCACTCATAGCCCCGCCCTCCATCACCCCTCCCCTAACCCACTCATAGCCCCGCCCTCCATCACCCCTCCCCTAACCCACTCATAGCCCCGCCCTCCATCACCCCTCCCCTAACCCACTCATAGCCCCGCCCTCCATCACCCCTCCCCTAACCCACTCATAGCCCCGCCCTCCATCACCCCTCCCCTAACCCACTCATAGCCCCGCCCTCCATCACCCCTCCCCTAACCCACTCATAGCCCCGCCCTCCATCACCCCCTACTTCCCCCTCCCCTAATTCACCCATAGCCCCGCCCCCTATTACCCCCTCTCCCGAATTCACCCGGAACCCCGCCCCCATCATCCCCCACTCCCCCTCCCCCAGAGTCCCGCACCCATCACTCACGCCGCCCCTCCCCCTAACTTACCCGGAACCCCGCCCCCTTCATCCCCCCATCCGTCTCCCCTCTAACCGCCCCCTCCCCCCGATTCCTCCTCCCCTCAGTCCCCCTAAACCCGCCCCCCATCCTCTCTCTCCTCCTCTCACTCCGCCCAAGCACCCCCGCCGCCAATGCCCAACCACGGAAACGCGACCACCACGCGTCCCCCCCTCCCCCCAGGCATCTCTCGCTTCTGAATCTGCAAGAGCAACTACCGCTTCTGGTAGAGGTCTCGCGAGACCAACTGCCGGCAGTGTGCTTGATTTGAAAGGCCCGCGGGTCACTTGGTGACCCCTGGTGGCCTTTAGTGCAGCCCCTGGTGGCCTTGAGTGCGGTCCTTTGTGGCGTTTAGTGCGGCCCCTGGTGGCCTTTACTAGGGCCCCTAGTGGCTTTGAGTGCGGCCCTTGATGGCCTTTAGTAGGGCCCCTGGTGGCCCTTAGTGCGGCCCCTGGTGGCCTTTAGTAGGGCCCCTGGTGCGGCCCCTGGTGGTCTTTAGTGCGGACCCTGGTGACCTTTAGTGCGGCTCCTGGTGGCCTTTAGTGCGGCCCCTGGTGGCCTTTAGTAGGGCCCCTGGTAGCCTTTAGTAGGGCTCCTGGTGGCCTTTAGTGCTGCCCCTGGTGGCCTTTAGTTGGGCCCCTGTTGGCCTTTAGTAGGGCCCCTGGTAGCCTTTAGTAGGGCTCCTGGTGGCCTTTAGTGCTGCCCCTGGTAGCCTTTAGTAGGGCCCCTGGTGGCCTTTAGTGCGGCTCCTGGTGGCCTTTAGTGCTGCCCCTGGTGGCCTTTAGTAGGGCCCCTGGTAGCCTTTAGTAGGGCTCCTGGTGGCCTTTAGTGCTGCCCCTGGTGGCCTTTAGTTGGGCCCCTGTTGGCCTTTCGTGCGGCCCCTGACAATACACATGTGAAAACACCCCCCCCCATCATCGTGCTGCTGTCAAACCCCAAATGGCTTCAAATGTGGCGGCCCTCACACTGATGATGTCTTATAGGCGAAAGTGGCCCACCTCTGAAAATGAGTGAAGAACACTGAAATGCGGAGTCGTTAGCCAGAAGAGAGACATGGAACTACACGGCTTGTTTGTTGCGTCTCACGAAAGTGAGAGTGACGGCTTTGGGAATGCCTTCATCTAGCAGTGGACAGATCAACCGATTATTACACTTCATACAGTGCGCTTATGTCGGGTGTACTGTATTTGATAAAACTGGTGTGGGTGCTGCTGCAAAAACGAAAAATGTTTGTCAATAAGTGCCTTAAAATAAAAACATGCGACGTTTTCGGGCAATACTCCTTTTCTTAATAGCGCGTACATAGTGAAGGGACATTGGCCGAAACGTCGCCTATTATGTATTTTTGTTCTTTTAAGGCAGTGTTGTTGAAGAATGTGCTGAATACAGGGTGTTCCAGATGTCTTGTGACACCCAATCAATTGATCCCAAACATGTTTTCCCTTTCCACATTCATGTGTTTAAATAAAGCTTACTTTTAAAAATATTCAGTTTTGAAGAGTTCAATCGGGGTCAAAAGACATCTGGAGCATATTTTTTTTAAAGTAAGGTTTATTTAAAAATACGAAAGAATGTGCAAAGGGAATTTTTAAGGGTCAATTACTTGAGGGGGGGTCACAAGACATCTGGACCACTCTATACAGTATTCTATGAAGCGCACATGTGCAAATATTACATTTCGTACCGCGCATAGGCAGTCGAAGACATAACAAAATCTACTTTGGTCTACACATTGTGAAAGGTCGGAAAAAATGACATCACCGTCTCATTTTAGCCTGAAGGGGCCTCTGTGCCCACGTGTGGAATTCAGGCTCCAGTAAAGTTACGTAATAAGGTCGTCGCCACGAAAATAAATCCCACATCGCTTGGGGTATATTAGCAGATCAGCGGGTTTATCTCATTTGCACAGCCCTTCGTCAATCCGCTACTGGATAAAATGCCTTCCCACCCCGCGTCGGTCATTGGCATTGTTTGACCATACTTCACCACGCAGGTTCGTGCGTCTTGGTGAAAGTGGAGGCCTAGGACCGATTCAAATTTCACGCGCCAATGATCAAGTTATATTTGTTTAACCAGGTGAGAGCTCGGGGTCCTAGGATATTCTCGTTTGCGATAAAGAGGTTTGAAAAAATGTTAGGGAAATAATACAAATGAAAAGTACGGCATTGAAGCAAATAAAAATTAGAGCAATATTCGTGTTGAGCCTCACAGAAAGGAGGTAGGTGCTTAATGTTGTGGTAGTTATGGTCAGGAATCTAGCTCAGGTCGTAGGGTTCATAACGGAGTGCACTATCCACTGCACTCGATAGGGCTTTGTTATATGCTGTGCACAAATGGCAGTGTACAATGGAAATGCTACTGCAAATGGTGATCAATGTATAGACACCACCGTGCATTTTGCAATGATACAGAGCTAATTCATTGCATGTTGTGAGCATATCTGACCGGCTATCTTGGACAAAGTGAGAAGTATGTTCAAATATATAATAAATGTATTGAGATTGGTTGTAAACATGCAGAGTTTTTTTTATTAAAATGCTATTCCCCTTCACGTCTATTATTTTAGTGCGTTATGTATATTTAACCGTGCATTATCTACAATATTTAATAAAAGTTACGCTTCCTACTTCAGTTCGCTGACATGTGACGTAGGTCTTGTAGGATTTTGTAAGATGACTAATAATAATTATCACAAGACAGAATTTAGTCCAGCGGGTGACCTCATTAAATCATGCCAAAATTGTATCCAGCAAAGCTCACCGAGTCTCGAGACACGTCGTCAGGAGGGCCTTGTATTGGGATGTTAAATGAGTTGCTGCATGTGAATGGAAACCTGCGAACCCGGAATAAACCCAACGCGCGTACGAGATGTTAACTACCTCGCCTGCTATGCAGGAGGTCGTGGGTTCGATCCAGAACTGACGCCTGTATATCCGGAGTTTGTAAGTTCTCCCCGTGGTCGAGTGCATTTTTGTTCGGGTCCTCCGGTTTTCCCCCTCCACAGTAAGAAAAACAAATTTAGAGTATTTGGCTGCGATAAATATCCACATGATATGCTACTTGTTTGAGCTATCATTTGTGGACAGGTCGCTTCTGTAAAAGAGCTATATAGCTCATTGGACCTTGACTGGTAAAAAAAATAGTCAATGCATTACACTCGGCATTACCATCTCCTGGCCAAACGTTGCAATATTCTACGTGGATAAGGGAATGCAAATGAAGCACGCTTAATATTGTACAGAGTTTACTGGTATATATTAGCAAACGTAACTACACGATTCATACACAGACCTTATAAAATCAAGTTCATATATGGGCGTGATATAAAAGCGTCTCTACTACACTAGAAACCTCATTCATGTGTTGGCGGAATCTGTGTTTGTGCCAATTGGAGGCAGAAAAACTGTCGAATCGGTAGAAACATCGGTGATGTGGTTCTCTCTCTTTTTTTAAGCAAATATCGGCGGAAACAACTTGTTCCACCAACACGGGAATGCGTCTGTAGAAATGTTAATCGTTTTCGCCTAGCCGTCAACAAAGCATTCCCCCCAACTCTCGAGTCTGTTACACACACACACTACTGAAGCGCAGACTTCATAAATATACAAAAAAACATAACAATCATAACATCCACGAGCCAACGGAACGCATGAGTGACACAATGGGACTGCAATACAAAACGTATGTACAGGCATGTTTGGTATAGTAAAAGGCATCACTTTGCAAAAAAATCAATTATGACAATAAAACTATGCTTTCTCTCATCAAACGTAAAAGGTTAACGAAAAGACCCTCTCATAGGGTAAACACAACTCTAGGCACCGAACATGTTTTAATGTTGAAACAAAAAAACCGTAGTTAAAGAAACTAAGCCAAAAAAAATGTAATCCTTAATTGTGTTGCATCTGATGTGTGCGCTCACACACACACACGCCGACAGCTCGACACGCTTTAAATTAAATCGCTTGTTTCCTAACTCACAAATCGTCGTTTTCCTCGGGTCAGAATTTGGGTGTTTTGCTGTAGACACAAAATAATAACACGCAGTGGACACGAAGCTTACAATAAGGGACAAGACTAACATCATGAGATCTGCTAGCAAGTGCACTTGTATTAGACAAAGAAAAAAATCGATTTCCAGCAAACAGAGTGTATATATATCTATATATAGTTATGTATATGCCTAAGACTGTCTGTGTGTGCGCGTGGCAATGGTTTTTAATATATAGTACAAATACAAGTTTGTGTGAGATTTGTGTTTCACTTTGTTTACGCGCCGCGGCCCCGCCAGGTCGCCACTCCTCAACGCGAATAACGATGTTAATTATATGTTGTAAAAAAAATACCTTTTGCAAGTGTGAGCGCTAACAGTAACAGAGTATTAGTTACACAGTCCAGCGAACTATAATCTGCTATATTCCGTGACGAAAGACAACCGAGCAACTAAAAGCATCCTCTTACAATTAATTATCCTCGTTTCTTTCTCTCGATTGGCAAAACCAAAATCAAATTTGTGTGGGACCCACCTACACACTGGAGGGCGCTGCAACGCAATTTGTTTGA